TCGTCGGAACAGCGAGCGGGTGAATCACCTGCGGTACAAGGACCAGAGCAACTGGGAGTGGACAGGCCAGAGGAGCTGCCAAAGTATCCCGGAGGACAAGGAAGCCGAACGCCGTCGACGCAGTAGTGCCCCGGCTCGCATTCCACCTGTGCGTTTTTCCGCCGCGGATCATGTCACGTCCCCGCCACGGTGCGGATTCGGGCTACCGTAAGTTAATTCTTGCTGGGATACGAGCGAGACTGGGATAGTGCGCATGACGATATCGAGCCAGACTCGTCGCCACTACTGATGCCTTTTGGTGCTTGGATGTTTGTCACGACCAACCAAGCCCCAGCTACTACACCCCCATCCTCTGAAGGCTCCGACGGACCAACAACCCGTGTCGCAAGCGAACGAGAAATATTCTCCTCGGTGCACGTCGCCGAGCACATGGTCGATGGTGGATATTGTCATATCTTCGCGTCTAGGACGTTACCCCAGCCCCACTCTCCATCATCCCTGTGCCCGACGACTGTCCCTCATCCACAAACCCTGCGCAACACGCGGTCTTTCTGCCTGCGGGGAACCTACCTGCGTCGTTTGGGTCTCCGCGACGCCTAGCCACGGATGCCTATCGACGTCTCCCACGCCGCCTCGTACGGTGTAGAAACCCTCAGATGCCGTTGTAGGGGCCGAAGAACCCTCGGGGCAGAATACGGAGGCGTTGCCACAGACATGCTTCGCGGTGATCAGAGAGCGAGACGCCACGTAACCCAAGCCAGAGCGGTTGTTTCGGCGGGGGGCGGGGGGGGGGGGGGGGGGGGGGTGTACTCATAGTCGTGCATGCCGTAGTCGTTAGACCATTGACCTCGCATCCCTACAAATCCGGGACGGAGCGTGGGGGAGGGTGGGTGGGGTACTATTATAATACGATGTTGCTTGGCTCAGTCATTCGAGAATAAAGCAGTATCGGTTGTATGCTGCAGCCTTCGTTCAGTAGCTCCTATAACAAATTGTGGCAACAGCCATGACCAGCCGCTATAAGGTTTGCAGGGGATTCTCGAAATACGCTCGCTACGTTGTCTTAATAACCACTGGTAATTCTTTGTCGCGACAATGGAACGGTCGAGTGCAGAACTTGGCCATCAACCGGATATCGAAATAAAACTGTCATAACCTGATCATCTATCCGATGTAGTCCACCGTGCGTGATGGATACCAAAAGAAAACCTAACTTTCCAACTCAGTCATTATTTACAACAGGCCTGTCTCCTGCCGCCCGCTGCTGCTGTTGCAAACAAGCGCGGGGTCAACCTTTGGCATCCCTCGTCCGCGGCGTGGAAATACGTCAGTCTACACCCTACACACGAGGGAGCATGTGTTCTGGGTGTATGTAGGCATCCCTAGTACCAGGTACTGCACAAAAGTTGTAGCCTTACCTTCATCATGCTTTCCACTTCTCCCTTTCGAGCGGCCTCCATCGCCGCGCGCTCGGCCTTCCGCTTCGACTTCGCCTGCTTGGCGGTCAGCTCCGCTGGCGCCGCCCCGCCCTTGCGCTCCCCTTTCCCCTTGCCGCCGCCCCCCTTGCCCTTGCCCGAGGACTCGGCGGCGGCGGCAGTAGCCTTGCCGCCTTTGCCGGTCCCCCCTGCCGCTCCAGCACCCTTGTTACCCCCATACGGTGAGAATCGTAAATCAGCAGAACCGACCATGGGTAGGGGTTTATTATATGCTTTCAGGAGAAAGGTCTCGAAGATGTTGTATTCTTACAGAAGATGACCTGCGTGTTGTATGATATGCATGCATGTGTCGACTGTCGACCTTTACAGTGCTTGCTGTACTGTAGTCCGGAGTCCGGAGTATTGCGGGGTAACCGAGCGTCACATTCATTCACATTCCGTTCTGGGTTGTTTTTAGAAAGTAAACAAACCTCACAGAAAGACTACTTGTACCCGTTCGAGATATAACCTCAGTCTTTGTTTTGTTTATTGCCCGATAAGTAGCAGCAGTGGTATGTATAGAGGAGGTTAATATGCTTGAACGTAAAAAAGTCTGGTAAACTTGAAAATGACAGCAGCAGCAGTATTCCACCCAAGTTGTACTTGTACATGGTTTCTACGAGCGTCCGGGCCGCTGGTTTGCTGGCCTTCGAATCAAATTTTCAAATGACAATCCCCTTTCACGCATACATCTCACCTTCCCACCCTGAGCCTCATTGCTAGCACCCTTTACTTTAGATCCCTTCCCGCCTCCCGACCCCTTAGCCTTGCTTCCCTTTCCCGAAAACCCGCTCATCCCTGCACCTGATGCCCCTGCTGTGCACCTTCCTGGAGCTGGTGATGCCCAACTCTCAATCCGTAGGGGGCCGCCAACTGTGGCAAATAAGGGTAGTCACATCATTTTGTCTACATTCACGGAGCCACTGGGTGAAATACCTATCCTGCCCTGCGGGATCCTGCCATCACGGTGTATGGAACATGTCATATACGACAATGGTCACAAGTAGCTGGGGCACGGCATTTATCCGGCCACCGTGCGTAGGGGCGCTTGCGAGGGTGGCGCTGAATGTCTAATGTGGGGGTTTCGCATCGTGCAAGATGGGTGTTCGGTAGGGGGCGGTAGGTGCCGCCTTCAATTCGCGCCCCCCCGGCAGTCTTGTCTTGCCGCAACTCACAGTCTCGTGTATCACTTTCCGTCTCTCCGTCTCTGGCCACCCCAACACGCAATCCGATCACAACAGAAGAATGTAGCGGCAGGTGATACATCGGTTGCTTGCATACGCGTCGATCTTTGTAAACTTCGCCACTAACAACTGACTCTCTGCGTGACGTTCATTCATGAAAAAAAATCTATGGAGCGCCCGAGATGTCCCCGGGTAGATAAGATTGTTACTGCGCCTGCCTGTAGTAGAGCGACAGGTGGAAGAAACGCATACACACATGTTCGTGACGCTCGTTCCTCACACAGAATATCCGTCGGTAAAAAAGGTGTGGGTGCATGGCTTACATGCGTCCCTGTGGGTGCGTAAAATTTGTTGGATACTTTCTGAGAGCGTGTTCTGGCTGGGAGTGGGAGCCTTTTAGCCTCTTTAGATTCTGGGTGCGCCAAGTATGTACTGTAAGAGTTTTATTCTGCAGTTCAAGGTTATGGGTGCGTTATGTACGGTACCAGGCTTATTGATGGCTTATTGATATGGTCGAGCTGGATCTGAATTGTAGGCGTGGTACAGCAGCTGAAGCACCGGTACTCGTACCGTCACCCTGGTCTGCGAATGACTGCAGCTGCTGCTGTTGTGGTGTTTGGAAAATGTCTGTTCCCACGTCCCGCGTGCTACGTAGACTGTAGACTATTCCGAGTAGTAACGATGAACGATGGGAGTATCCGCACCACAACCCCCAGCTCTAACACAATGCCCGGCGTGCTTCTACATTGATTGGGCAGGTCTCCTTCTCTTAAGCTGTTAAGCCATGTTCCGTGGCAGAGGGGAATAAAGTATGCAATGTTCAATGACTCACAGCTACTGCACAAGGTGGTGAACGGGGACTTGCCGGGTGTCCAGGAGTTGGTGAATGCTGGAGTGAGTGTAAACGGCAATCTTCGCCCCCTGCGAGACATCCCGCTCATCCTCGCAACCGTGGAAGGTCATATCCGCATCGCTAAGTTTCTGATCGCAAGAGGAGCCAACCTAGAGTCGGCCTGCCTTGAAGACGTTGGAAACGAAAATGGAGAAATGTCCGCGAGGAAAGGGACGCGCGCACTTCATCTTTCCTCCAGCCCTGAAATGACCTCTGTGTTGCTGAAGGCTGGGGCATGTCTCAACGCCACGGACGCGGACGGGTGCACCTCTCTCGTACGAACTGGCGGTGGGGATGGTACGAGAGCTGCTCAAGGGAAATGCCGACCCCAGGTTGACCACTAAGGACGGAAAGATGGCTCTGCACTTGGCCGTGGGGGCCGGGAACATCGACGCAGTCTCGTGCCTGTTTAGACGCTGCGCCGGAAACGCTGAATCACCCGGCGCTAGAATACCACATCACTCCTCTATGCTTCGCAGCGATGGGAGGGTATGTCGCTCTCGCCGACATGCTAATATCCAGGGGTGCAAGGACCAGGCCTTTGATCGCAACGATAGGGCGGCACAACATCTCGTGCCCGCTGCTGTACGCGGCTGTGGCCTCTCTGCAAGAGAAATCCGTGGAGCTCATTGTTGACAAAGGGATGGATGCTGTTGGAGGGATCGCCTCTGTCCCTGCTGCTCTGCTCGCAGCGGCGCAGTTCGGCCTTGCCAACGTCGTGAGGATGCTCATTGGTGTGCAAGGCCAGGGCAGGCAGGAATACTACTGGTAGTCAAATTTGTTGCATTTGGGATGGCGCGTGCTGACCGTCGCCGCTGGGTTCAACTCCCTTGAGGTAGTCATCCTCCTTTTGCAGGCCGGGGCAAACGAAGGTGCACTCGACGAAGGTGGGAAACTCGCCGTGGACTCTATCGGATCGCTGGTGAGAAGCTCGAACCACGTGACGGACAGCCCCGTACCAGTATCAACCGCGAGAAGGGACACAAGGGTGAGGGATCCAGTGAGGGAGGCCCGCATTCGTTCCACGTTGAGGCACGGCCCAGCGTTCCGAGCTCGATCGTGGTTGTGGCCCCCCACCGTGCAAGGCGGCGTAACTGCCTCAACTGTTGCTCGTGGTGACACGGCGGCGGCAAAACGAACGGCGTGTGTCCGTCTACAGAAAGGCACAAGGTTCTTCGCCAAGCTCGTCCTCGAGAGGTGAGGGACGGGAGGGGGGGGCGTGGCAGCTTGACTTTCCGCTCCAGCGGCCATGTGTTTTCAAGAGCAGTGCGCGTCGTTAATAACGCCGCCTTAATTTGTTTTTAGTGCTATTGTCATGAAACCTAAGCCTAGAAGACCACCGGTTGGTGTTTCAACCGTGCACGCGTTGTGTAAGGACCGTCAGCCATTGCCGGGTGCCTGCACCTGGTTCATGGTTTGGCGTGTTTCAGTCGAACGCCACCCTCCCCGCCACATTTTGAAATCGCGAAAACGCACACATTTGCTATATAAACATGATGGAACACACACACGTCGATGGTGAATTGTTGTTGTTCATGGCACTGGCTCCCCCGCAAGGCGACCGTGCTCGAGTAGGTGTCAGGTTTAGGGTTGAGGCAACAAGTCGTCGTTCTTCGTCTCTGAAGAAGTACAGATAACGCCGCCACGTACATATGACACCTCTTATCGTGTCTTGCGCAACCCTCGAGTCTTTGTTGGCCGCCCTAAACCGAGCACGTGTTCTTGTTTGCCAAGTTCTGATGTCGGCCAGGGACATCTATGCTACTTTGTCGCGGGTCTTGTTAATACTTTGATAGCGAGTGCCCCATGTTGGACAATCGTCCTGCCCAGCTGGTGTTCCATATTGTTATCCGTAGATTTTACATTCAACCCACTGCCTGTCTACACCATCAGCCTGAGGACCCTGACGGGCTGCAGGACTGTGTGGTTCAACCGCATCTGCTTTCCCGATCATTCTCATTTACAACCAACAAAAATGAACATCGACCAACACTTGAACAAACAAAGCGCACGGGACCGTTGAACATCCATTACAATCATCTTGGTCCACAAGGGTTACGTTGGGCTTCGCTACCCTCCCCGCTCTACCGACAGCCGGGTTAGTTAGGGGCACTCCCGACGGAGCACGATCTACCCGCTCTGTTGTGATCCTCTCCAGCGAAACCCACGAACCTACCACGAGTTCATCCGGGTCTCCACTGTACTTTTCCAACGGCAGCTTCATGCTGCGGGTGCTATGGTTTTCCTCAAACTGCCCACGGTGATCGTCGTACCGCCGAGTTTAGGGCTCCGTTCTTCTGTTAAGCCCCAGGTTTAAAACATCGGGTGCTTATTCTTAAGGGGGTTGAAGAACAAGTTACTTCGTTGCTGGTTCTGTTTTCATGCTTAAATCCAATATATAGAAAGAAAACCACCTTCCTGCCGTCTAGATGTTCCACATTCTACTGTTGTCGGTAGAGGACACCATGAAGAGGCGTTCAGGTGTGCTACTGGAGCGGAAATATCGAAGGTCGCCGCGGCAGTCTCTGAAAACAGTCCGTAATCTGCACCGGAACCCAACTTTTGTCACAGCCGTGCTCACCGCCAAGGACCGCAAACCCCTGAACGGTGGGTCGTCAGGTGTAGCTAGTGGGATCAGCTACAGTAAACAAATAGTTCAGGAGATTGGGGTCAATGGTGTCGGGCACAAGCAGTACAAGACATTGAGTGTCGGTCAACTTTGGTTAATTTCCGGAGATCGTAGGTCGCTACTACTACGACCCTCGATATCACCACCCAAGAAGCGATTTGTGCACGCCAACACACACAGCACCGATAAGGTGTCCTCTGGTGATCTCAGAATATTCCTTATTAGAACGCCTGCCGTTCTGGCTCTATTGACTTGGATTTAGACCGGTGTGAATTTTTATGTTGATTTCAAAGGAGGCGTGTGGAGGTAGACGCGTGAAATGTGTGTTTTGAGCCGCCCTGTGTGAGAATTGCCGATTTCCGTTTTTCCCGAAGCCTTCGGACTGGTCTTTGTGTGTCTCGTGGTGTGCGTTTTCTGGTGCTATTCCGTTTCTTTCAAAATCACTCAACGTCAAAATCGCCTGTTGCCTGACGCGCCGGCGCGGTCAGTCTGTAGACATCGATTCCTCACTCCCCCGAAAAATTCTTATTTTGAAGCTTCGCTATTCACTTTCCGTATGATGACAGGTACACGCTCAGAAGCGGTGAGACAGGGAGGAGGCGGAGCGCTCCCGAGGCCTCGGTCATAGGATTTCTCTCAAAAGCAGTTCAGTCAAGGCCATCATTGATGTGGCTATCTCTTGCTATTTAGCGACTCGGCGGATTCGCTACTCCTCACGATAGATGCCAACGCCATACCCACCCGTGGCCAAGAGGATACGTTCTTGTGTGTACAGATGGAGGGAATAGGCGAGGGGTCAACAACCTTTTTCCCAAAGGTGTTGCAGCAGTAGTGCTGGTACTTTTCTATCAGTAAGTAAAACGCTCGCCAGGAAAATAAACGAAGCGTGGATTAGGCATCATCATAATGATATTTTTTTTTGTAGTTGAAGTATCTTTTGTACATTCTTTGTCGAATGTACAGCATATGCTTGCTCTCATCTCAAACCGTGGCAGGTGACAAAAGATGTCTCGCCACGCTGTATATGATGTTCGAGCAATAATAAAATGTAATAATGTATACATCACATTTATTTGGGCCCTTACGTAGTGAGCAACAGAGTACGACGACCACCACCCTGATCGTGTTCTGTATTAAATAACAATCAGTAACAATTTGCACGGGATGGATGCAATTTCTTCGGTTCGGGTGGTTGTTGTTGTGGTATTTTGTATGAAGGCAATAGGGCGGGTAGGTAGATACGCCTGCAGTAGGATCGAGTGCATACTTGATTGCAAATGCGCAGATAGCGCCCGCTTAAAACCTCTAGGTTTGGCCGAGGCTGGGGCTTTAGTTACAAAAATAAAGAATGGCCGCCATTCATTTTGAGGAAAGTAGCTTTTTCGTGTAGGGGTTTAACCCGGGCGTGCATATGGTACATACATACTCAATTTCTCAAGTTTTGATATGTATGATGTTGAGGATTGCTGTCTGTTGTTGTGTCGTATAGTATTCATACAAAAAAAGAGGCCGATCGGGGGGGGGGGTGGACGAATGAATGACCAGGTCGCGGACACACACACGATGAACGATGAATGAAAATTTAAAATGTATTTATTTGCTGTCTGTGTGGCTTCGTAACAAGGATCCTTCTCAGACATTTTTCTTTGTATGGGAGTTCAATGACCAATGATACTCCGCCTTCGAACTTGAGCTAATGGCTTTTTTCCCGTGCAGGTCATGGATGGGCGTGTTGCAGTTCATGGATGGGTGTTCTACAGGACATGATGAAAAGAAAAATAAAGTTAAAAGGTTGCGCGACTCACCGTCGTCGTCGTCGTCGTCGTCGTCGTCGCCTCAGAAAATAAATTCAATCATGGCCTCGTCCGCCCGTGAACCCTAGCCTTGTTGTCATTTCCAGTTTCAATTATCGAAGGGGCAAGAGCAAAACTTCTATTTTGGAGATTCCGTGCCATCGTTCCCATCTGTGCTGGATGGATGTGAATGTGTTGCAACGAGGAAGAAAGGCGCAGGAATTTCATCGGGAAACAAACAACCCGAAAAAAAAAACACGCAAAAAAAAAAAGGGAGAGGTTGTCAAAAAAGTGCGGGGATAGAGAGGCTCGAACTCTCGACCTTCTGCTTATGAGACAAACGCTCTAGCCAACTGAGCTATATCCCCCCCGCACGTGGTTATTTGCTAGAAAAAAATTATAAAATATGAACTCTACCGCTATATCGGGAAAATGATCGTTCAACAGCAGTTAGTGCAACGCAGAAATTTCTGCATGCTGCTGCGTGTCTGCTATCGATCTCAAGCTACGCTGCTCAATGTACGTGTAGAGAGTGGTAAGAGAGGGGTCCTCCATCCACCAGCCGTATCCGTGGCTTCGCGGTCTCTTGATCGAAAGAAAAAAAACGCTTTTGAGGAGCGGTTGGCGAAGATCCGTGACGACGCATCATCATGTCGATCGATGTAAAATACATACATGCTGCTAGATGGACTACATCCAACATAACAAGATCTTCATACTTTTGCAGCAGATGTACTTTCGTAGCGTACATTCCGAGCGAATATTAATTAATAGCCGGATGAATATAGCAAACTCGATTTGAGCAAAAAGTGCGGGGATAGAGAGGCTCGAACTCTCGACCTTCTGCTTATGAGACAAACGCTCTAGCCAACTGAGCTATATCCCCCCCGCACGTCATTGTGTGATTACGCGAAGTTTGACGCCAAGTAGTCTAATTTCTTGTTCTTGACAGCAGCGTTCTCCTTCCCGCAACACACCGCGGCATCGTCGGAAAGCTTGTATACGCCCTCACTCATGTAATTCATAGCCGGTCAGACTGTGGGGTAGATAGCACGGACCCTCCAGGCACAGCAGAGGGAGCAGTGTGAATGCTGTGGGATCTGGAGCGTTTTTTGCTGCCAGGGCGTCGGGGGGGTGTTTTTCCTCACGGAGCCCCCGACATTCAAACCAAGCCAATTCAAACCCTTGCCACAACGTTACAGATTATTAGAAAGTAAACACAACATTTGCCTCCCGTCTCCCTTTCGCCTCTCTCTATCTCTCTCTCGCTTACTCCAAGATGTCAGCACCCGAAGCAACACCCGAAGGACGAACACCTGCTACTGGGGCGCCAGCTTCGCCAGAGGTGGCTCCTGCCGTGGTTGAAACCAGCAACGGTAGAACAGCGGAAGCGAGCAGCATGGCTCCCCCGGCGGCCGCACCCCCAGCAGCAGCAACAGGAGCAGCAACAGGAGCAGCAGCAGCAGCGCTCCCTCAGCAGCTGGCAGATCACAACAACAGCAACGACGTCAGCGCCGCCAACGAGGAGGCGGAGGAGAAGATGATTACGGAGGAGTACAAAGTCTGGAAGAAAAACACGCCGTTCTTGTACGACGTAGTCATGACCCACGCCCTGGAGTGGCCGAGGTGTGTGTGAGGGACGGCGGTAGAATAGCATCAGGTTTGGGGCTATGTACACGAAAGACAGGTCGTTGGGGAAAGCTACGAGCGGTGGGAGGGGGGACTAGCCCAACGAGTCGGCGGCAACTACCTCTGATGATTTCCGCGACACACATTTCCCGAGAGTGTTGCGCGCGATGCGACCCTGCTCACTTCAGTCTTGAATCACCCAAAATACGACTTCTCTCCCTCCAGTTCAAATTCAAAAATCAAATCAGGACGAACCGAACGCGTGCTTGTTTTCGTTGTGAGAGGGAAGAACACCATACACAGCAACCAAGTGGCCGTTAGCCATACATGTAACAGCATCCAGCGGGAGCGGCAACGCGGCAACGCAACAATCCCGTGCCACGCGGGAAAAATATGGTATGGTGTCGATCACGCTCGAGACACATAATCGTTTGAGTCCGTTGGGTAGCACAGGATTTTTCTCACCTATCGGCACAATATCCTTCTTTCTCCGGGCAGCATAGTCTGCTCGTGGGTCTCCCTTTCTCCACGCGAAGATGAGATTACCTTTGTTTTCGGGTAAAATGGACCACCTGTGTCCAAAGCAGAGTTCACAGCCAACTCGCCGACCCACAGGCATCCTTCGCAGCCCTGCTCTCAAGAGCCAGTTCGGCGGGGACGTAGCCGATGGTCCCCAAGTGCCAGCAGTAGCCATTGCGTTGGCAGTAGCCATATAGCGTGGGGGCGCCTCCATCACCGTGCCATCACCGGTTGGCGCCCGCACTGGAGAACCTTCATAAAGTTTGGCCGAGGATGGGGTGTTCTTGGTTCATACGTTATGCGACAAGTGCCCACGTTATATGGGTAGTTCTCAAATCGAGCTCATAAAATGTTTCGAGGCTGTATCAATTGCTTCACTGCCAAGCACACCGAGAAGGACTTACGCTCTCTTCAGACCGACCCATGCCCGCATGTAGACTAATTGCGTGAGGACTGAAAGCAAGCACCAAGCGAGCGCCCCCCCCCCCCCCCCCCCC